TATCTATCTATCTATCTATCTATCTATCTATCTATCTATCTATCTATAGAGATATATATTCTATGCACCATTGTTTTAAACCAGGGGAGGGCAGTCTTGCCCTCAGCATTGTGAAGCATCTGATTGAGACCTGAGGGAGAAAGTTAATTTTATTTATTCCTATCTTTCATGAATAATATTTATTATGAATTCATTTCATGTCTGCTGTTTTGTTCTTATTCTAACTGATTTCCCCCCCCCCAAACCCAAGTTTTAAATACAGACCCTGACAGGTCACATAAATTTAAATGCAATTCGCAAGATGGAAAATTTGATTGCAAACAATAAAGGCATATTCATGCCAAAGACACACATCCACTGATACTTTCATTTAAATATACATGTAGCCAAGCAACAGGCCTTTGAAATTGTGGTGAATGATGTTCCTGAAATGAGACTTCTCAATCTGTCTCTTGACTATTTAAATTTAATCACTGCTTTTAGTATTTCCAAATTATTTGGCTAGCCATTTTTTGTAAATATCTTATTGTTTCACTTACTTCAAAGACGTATATAATACTTCTAATAATTATACATGAAGTGATACAATAAAATTATATTTCACTTTTTTACTCTGCGTAATATTTCTTGCTTTCTTCTCCTTCTGCTCCCTCTTTCCTTCTCACTTCTTTGTTTCTTATTATTTTTTTGTTGAGGTGAATTGTATTTACTTTCTCTTCAGCTCATTCAATCTTGGTGGACTGATCGATTGTCTGTCACTACTTGCTTCTTTGAGTTCTTATAAGCTCCTTCTTGTGTCATCTAACTTCCTTCTCTTTTGTGGATCTTTTTTATTGCCTTTGATCTATCCAAACATCTTTGGATTGTGTATCTAAGGTTTAATTGCAAACATCTTTGGATTGTGTATCTAAGGTTTAATTGCAATATCAACCCTTTCAATGAATTGTCTGATTTTACATCATCTAGTGTTAAATGATTTGTTCTTTATGTGGTCCAAGGTATTCTCAACAATATTCTCCAGCAGCAAAATTCATTGTTTTTCATTTAATCTTTCTAATGATTCAGCTATCACAGCCATATGTTTCAACTGAAGAACATAGTTTTGATAATGTTGTAAGTGTGATGTCTCTGCGCTTTAATATTTTTGCCTAAAACTGTTGTAATCTCTTGCATATAAAAGGTCTTTTCACTGCAATTGTCATCCTTATGAATTTTTGAGACTAGAAAAATACAATCTGTACCTTCTTTTTTCTCTCTGCATGTTTGCATTGGTTGTAATGTCTGTTGACATAATCTTATTTTTTTAAAATATTGAACGGCAGACCGGGTTTTGCATTTTCTTATTTCATCTTCAACTAGAGATTCCTTTATACCTTTCTCATTTGTTTTTTTCTGCCATCAATTTTAATTTCAATTCATATGTCTTCTAGTCCACTACGTATGCATATGTATGTGGGCATATACACACTCTCATAAATATACACACAGGTATAATTGAAAGTTTTAAGAAATAAAGTAGAAAAGAAAAAGATATAAAGAAAGGTATAAAGAAGTGGCTTCCAATTTTCTTCACACCAATTATAAGTACCAATTATGTTTTAATTTGTCTTTGTAAAGTTACATCATGACTCTCTTCTTTCTATAATCTGTCCCACTGTTTCTCAATGTTAGCAACTTTAAGATTGGTAGACTTCAATTCCCAGAATTCCTCAGTCAAAATTCTGGGAATTGAAGTTCACAAATCTCAACAGTGTCAAGATTGAGAATCACTGGTCCTTTCTAATCATCAGACTTATAAATTTTGAATTCCTTTTTTTTTTTGTTTTTCCTATGCAAAAAGTCCATAAAGGATTTCCAGTAATCAAAATAGATATTTCTCTAATCTGACAAGACAGCTTAGTTGGCAAGTTCTGTCATCTTCACTAACCATTCCTCCACTATAGATATTGGCAAGTCTTTTCACCTTTGTGCATACAATAATTGGCTGTGGTTATCATATATGAATATGGTGCTCCATGAATTTTTTCTAGCTGTTTATCCATCAGTCCCAGGATTATTTCAACTGAATATTCATTTTTAAAATCCTCTGATTCACTGTATGTATTTCAGCCCAAATGTTTTAGGTTTTCATACACATCTGCCCAGTGATGTGGTAAGATGAATGGCCAATAAACGTAATAAATAAAGTATGATAAATTTCTTTCCCAATTCTGAACCAGGCATAGTTTGCATATCAATTCTTCATTGAGGTAGCCCAGTATATCTATTGTTTTAAGGGGCATCCACAATTTTTTGGAGTGTATATATATATATATAGAGAGAGAGAGAGAGAGAGACTAAAAACTCTGTGTATAATACAGACAGCAAACATAGATGTCCTTTTGGAATTCCCTTGCCTTTTCCTTCACCTTCTGGACATCAGCAGTGTGTTTTCTCTCTGAATCTGATTTGTACATCAGGCAATCAATCAATCAGAATAGAGCTGGAAGGGACCTTGAAGGTCTTCTAGTCCAGCTCCCTGCTGATGCAGGAGACCCTATATCATTTCAGACAAGTGAACTGTCACTGTCCAGTCTCTTCTTAAAAACCTCCAATGATGAAGCATCCACCACATCTGATGTTCTGACACAGTTCTTCTTTTATAGTTTCAGAATCTCCTGCCATTCAACTTCCCCTTTCTTTTCTTGGTGCTGCCCTGGCAATTTGTGATGAATTCCTTGGTGAAAGTCAATCTGCTGATTTTCAAGAACAGAAAAGCCTTGCGTAGAGAGATGTTCCCTGCCAGTGCACTGCAAAAGTGTTTTTCTTCTAATGAATACTGTGTCAGTCTTATGCGGGTATTCACACCTACTGCACCACACCTTCATCTTTTAAATTACTCAAAATGCTAGGCACTAACCCAATTGCAGATATGCTGATTGCAAGTCCTTGTCCAGTCCTAGCTCCAAAATTGACAAAGAGCAGATTGGCCAGGTTTAGCACTATGGGAACTAGAAGCCTTGTAGACATCATCTCCCCTCTACAAGCAGTTCCAGTGGGAATCCCACCACCTTGTTATCTTACTTCAGGACTAAAGATTCCCTTGTATTTCTTTTGCTTTTCTGGGGGAAGACAGGTTACTTCTAAATATAATTTGCAGTGGTAGAAACAAGAGCCTTCTAAGAATACTGACAAGTCTTCTGTGAATATACTAAAATTCACCCTTGTAGTAAATCTAATAAATGTTATTTACTCACCTTAGCAGCAGTCTCCGTGGACACATAAAAGTGCCATTTCAACAAATAAAAATATTATGCAGTATTTTTAGTTTCATAACCCTGTAGCACATGCTTTTATTTATCTGAACGCATAATCAAGCCAAAAATTGTTTTCTCTGTTAAGCAATACTAATAAACATGTAGAAGCTTTAATTAAAAACATTGAATTTTTTAAAAAAGAAATAAACGTAACAACAACCCCCTACCCACATGAATATATTTCCATTTTCTTCCATGAACTGGGCCACAAAATCAAGGTTTGATTTTGTGCCTTGAAAAACCGAGAATTATAGAGCATGTTCTACTGTACTAGGCAAACCTATTGTAATATACTACACTGAGCTCTGATTCACATGCTTTATTCAGCATTAATGCTGCTTAAGCTCCTGAATGTCTAAAAGAGGCATTTCCAAGAGTGGTTATGAGCACATAATCAGTTGTCTCCTAAGGTCTTCTGCAGGCACCTCTGGGCTCTGAGCCAAATGTACCATATAGACCAGGGGTGTCCAACCTTGGCAACTTTAAGACTTGTGGACTTCAACTCCCAGAATTCCTCAGCCAGCAAAGCTGGCTGAGGAATTCTGG